TCAGTTGTCAAATAATTGCAACACAAAAACCACCATCAAGATAGCGCTATAACATGTTATAACTCTGTAGTATGAACGTACTATAAGCTTCAACTCTATTTACATCGAGAGGGGCGACACATCCAAAATATCGTTTAGCTTCAACTCTATTTACATATGATTTTCTTGTTCAGTGTAGATTTGCAGGATTCCATTTCTTAACGTTTCTACTTTTTCGATGCTGCAGTAGATAGAAGTCGATGGCGATAGGTACGAAAGGATTGTTCATGAAAAGTAGGTGTGTGTGTCAATTCATTTGCTGCTAAGAAGGCACGAAGCTACACGCACATCAGGCGAGCCTAAAAAATGCGAATGAAGTCAATCTCGTTGAAAATCAACTATCTGGTGAGTATTTTAGTATTAATTACCTGCTCAACTATCAATTTTAAACCACAATTATCATTGGCAACTGATGTTCAAAAGAAGGAGTTCTGGAATGCTTTTGCCAAGGACGTGGGACAGATTCCACCTGTTATACGAAATTAAATAGAATACACATGATACGTGAACGCTGCACTAGGCGAAGTTAATGATTTGGAAATCAAAGCAATTGAAGAAGATACACGGATAGAAATCTCCTTATACCTTTTGGCAAATTTCTAATGCTGATTATTCATAAAATTTATAAGTCAACTAATAAGCAGACGCCTTGCAAAAATTTAATGAAGATCATGTGTCAAATGAAATGTATAAACGGTCACACATACCTTTTATGCATTCTTATAGGACCTATGCGGTTGGCAAAAATGTATAAATGAAACACATGAATAAAATAATTGATTTTCGTTTCGTGTATGCAAAGAGTCTCAAAATCCCAGTATATTTCCAACCTCGCTTCCAACGTAAAGCTGAAGAATTGCTTCGAAAAGTTTGATGATAAACCAGAGGCATATTTTTCACTGTAAAACATCGTCGCTAAAACATTACCGGCATCTGTTGAGTACACTGTGGTGGGTAGTACGCTAAACAGATGGCGGTAGTGTGTAAACGCCAAACTCAAGGGAAATGACTATGCGGGCCACAGGTGGTGGTACTACCAACTACGATACTTTTAAATTAACCGTTAAGGTTCTACAAAGGGTCATTATTTTGTTTACTTCTTCTTTTTGAAATATTCTTCGATCATCATTTTCTAAATGTATTGGTAAAATTCATTGGAAGTGTCTCCACGCCAAAACTGCCCATTTTTCTTAAATATCAACTGGTATGGTGAGGAAAACTTAACCATCTCTTTTCTTCCTTCATTTCAATACAACAGCAAATGTGATGTCACACTATCTAGTGGATAAGAATGTAGCAGACAAAACATTCGCACTGCCAGACTGCGCTGTATGCAAGATTGTTTACACCCCTGAGCGGGAAAGTGTTTACCAGGCTACGTGCACTGCTGCCATCAACCCTGTTAGTGTTGAATTCAATCTTCTGTGACTTTTTTAATTTGGTCATTTGTGTTTTATTTAATCAGTTTTTGATATTTATCCACCATTAAATACATCACTCATCTATGTTAATGAGGCAGACTTCGCAATTAATTGTTTTAATAAACTTAAATTCATTGCTAGAGGCAATACATCTGACACTGATACTTTCAATGATACTTTCACGATTGCTAGCAAATCAATAAAGTAGAAATGGTTTTCTTAGTGATAAATTTTGTTCACCAAGAGTTTTGTGAAGCAGTCGTTTTGAGTTTCGTGTACTCGATTGCGTTTAATTGTGCTATACTTCGAAGAACACAAGGAAGTTAATACAGTGAATGTGTTTTACACAGGAAATTTTTGATCTAAGATCGCGAAATACATGTTTTAAATTTTCGTATTCATAATATATGAATGTATGTGTAAACTAATGATGATGATTTTATGATGTTTAAAAGATAAGAAGAACACAAAATTACTTACCCTTTGTAGAACCTTAAATGCTTGTTCGATGCGAGGTTCGATGAACAACTTGCGAGTGTTATGTCTGTTTGTCTGTGCCAGAGGACTTCCGTTTTCTTGCTGGAAAAAAGGCGATAATAAGGATGTTAGCTGCGAAAATTAAAAAAACGCGGCTTTAACCACTATATGAGATGGCGGAAAAATATTCCAAGAGCCTCAACTTAGTACCGAATTGAACTTTGATTGCGAAACCGCAATTAAAATGGATTTCATATAAAAATGTGATCTAGAACTATAATTTCAATAGAAACCATGAGAAAACAAAACTGTTAAAACGTCCATACCTAATTATTCAATTCTTTCAATTTAAATTAAATTTAGTTATGCATACATAATGCAGCCGAATCCTAAGTATTTAGTTTTTATCGCTTGGCATCATCTGCTGGTGGGTTTATATAACACGCATGTTATCGATAGGAAACCTTCAAAAACTAGCGGGCTGGTGATCCAGTACAGTAACATTTCTGGTGAAATTCACGAATGAACGCAAAAATAGTGTTCCAAAAATGTTTAAATTTACATCGTCCATGGAATTTTAATGATGGGGCTATCTAATTGTGGGATTTGGAAACAAAATAACTAATACTTCGCGCATTCATGTAGATAGTTAGCAGTCAAGAATGTACTCACGCTAATTCTAATGCTACTCTTGTAAATCTTTGAAGTAAACCTGCCGACCGAGAGTACGTGCCACTACAGGAATAACTGAAGAAATTCATGTTACAGTAAACAAGCCCGGTCAAACCGTGAACGAGATAGTTTTCACAATACCGCAACCTACCAGTTGCTGGGGTTATTCCGAGAGTCGAAGTGACTTTTGTCACTAGTGAAGTGAGAAAAGTCACGTCGTGGAGACGTGACTCTCTGTGAAAATCAAATGAAGAGTCACGTCACGTCTCTATCTTCGAACGGACCGCTTAAAACTCACAAATCTATAATTTTGGTGTTAGGATGTTAAACAATTCCGGAGAGCTTCGAGATTATGGCGTAATTGCTTTTGTAAACAAACACGTCCTTTGACGATTTCTCGCGTATTAAAGCTCAATCTTAAAAACTAATAACACAAACAGGTAGAAGAGTGATTCTTCTACCATTTGGTATAGTTTTTTTTTTCGCGAGATTGTTCTTTTATTCGTGCAAAATCGGTGATTGACGTGTTTGCTTACAAAAGCAATTACGCCCAAATCTCAAAGTTCTCCGGTTATGACTTGACCACAGTCTCACCGAAATGTAAATAAACACCTCCGGCTTGCTGATTCGTCTGCTACGGTTGCTTGTTCGGTAATAGCTCGATCACGAAAAGATTCGAGCATGCGCAAGTAGATGGTAGTAGATGCAAACAGATGCTGTACTGTAAATAAATATATAAAAAATAGATAGATTCACGCTGAAAATGAGATAATCTGGATGTGTCGCACCCCCTCGGGTAAAATCCCATAAGCATCTGTCAATCTGTGTGTGAAACATGGCGAACTTTATCTCATGTCTTTACTCCACCGATAAAGTGAAGCGACGTTGGTTCAATTGTGCCGTCAGCACCAATTGTTTGAAAGTTTTTGCAGCAAATACGGCGATGACATGGCTTGATCGGAACGATGGACACACATTTTTTTCCCCCATTGATTTACATGTATCATCCAACCCGCGTGTGTTGCAAACAAGCTTTCATACAATTGTGTAATTTTTCCTTCCACCATTCCGATCAAGCTAAGTATGTAGCAAAGCGAGTTGTCATGACAATTCGCAAGCGTTTTGTCTATATTGTTGACTGCTCTCAGTGTTTTGATACCCTGATTATGAGCTTATGTATGTTTTTTTTTTAATAATAATGCTACGTTCAGACTTTAGCTGATGTTACGTAATACAGTAAAGTTTCCCTTCCCAAGTAACAATTTTGGTTTTATGAGGGTTCTGTAGACCATGATTTAGACTTCTAGAATGTTATAAAACCGCGATAAAACCTGCAATGTTACGTGGGTTAAACGCTGGCCAGACTGAACAGTTATAACATGTTATAACGGTTGTCAACTAATTGCAACAGAGAAACCACCATCAAGATAGCGCTATAACATGTTATAACTGCTCAGTCTGGACAGCATTTAATGCCTTGTTCAGACTACAGAGTTTTAACCTGTTATAGCGCTATCTTGATGGTGGTTTCTGTGTTGCAATTATTTGACAACCGTTATAACATGTTATAACTGCTTATTCTAGCCAGTGCTTAAACGTACTATTGCTCGATGTTCTACCTAACTTGATGTAATTCCAGGCTACTTCGACCACTACAAATTTTCAAATTAACCTCCTTAACTCGATATCCTCCCTAACTCGATGATCCCTTCAATATCGAATTAGGGAGGGATAGGCTATCCTGATATTAAATGTCATATATGAGGGGGTTTGAAGGAAAGGGGTGTAAGTGACTTTGATCGATTCTCTTCATCGACTTTCTCTTTTAATAGCCACAGCTTTATAAACAGATTTTGCGCTATTTCTGCCACATACTTTGATAAAGGCGGTTCTTATCTAGCATCCAGCATGGCCCACGAATCAAGGAATGCGTTTACAGCTGAATTATTAACGAAAGAGAAAGTCGATGAAGAGAATCGATCAAAGTCACTTACACCCCTTTCCTTCTAACCCCCTCATATATGATTTGCAGAGAAAATCTGGCATATAAGTACTCATTACAAGGCAGTCCATAGAACGTAATATTAGTCATAGTTTAAACATGGTATATCAGTAACTGCCAGAATATTTCCAGGCAATACTAATATTAAAACAATTTGTGTTACTTCAAATTTGATCTTTTTATTTTTTCGTTTACCAATTCATTTAATCTACAGCACATATTTACACAAAAACCCTTACATCACAAATAAGCATACAAACTGATAAACGATTGAAATTCACAAAATTCATCATCGGGTACCGCGGAACAAAAATGCTACTTCGAGTAGTGGTTTTCAGCATTCACAAATTGCTAATGCAGAACGCTGAACCTGTGTTTATTGAGGCAGTAGCCTCCAAATCTAATATTTGTCACTGACATTGCCACCGAATGCCATTTGGGTTCTGGTTAATAAATATAGATAGGATAGAGTTTTCACTACGGCGATCAATTTGTTGCATTTTATGTCAATTTATGCTAGTGCTTCTAAAGTCTTGTTGGTTGCGATCCAAGCGCCGCGTGGAATTACGAGAATCGTAGCCCATTATACACCCGATTGATGGAGGGTTGATTCAGTAGATTTTTGATGTCTGAAATTTATCAAAAGGGAATTAGATCGGGTAACACGAGAGCAAATTTCTGAAAGGTACCTTCTTTTTCAGTGTCACTGAGTTGCGTCTTGGGGAACTCTACGTCGAACGAAATGTACAAAGTTCCTCGGAGGTTGTTGTTCTCATAGTTTGGCATACCTTCGCCATTCTTGCGAATCCTAGCTCCGGGCCACGTGACCTTTTCCCGCGTTATGGGAACCTTATGGCCGTCCAAATGGTTAATTTCCATTGTGAACCCAACCAGAGCATCCTAGAGGATCAGAAAATTACATAATTCAATGGACCAAATTTACTGAAATTATTCACAAACCTGTAAGCTAATCGTTACGTTGGTGTACAGATCATCACCCCGTCGTTCAAACCTCTGATGTGGCACCGTTCTGATCTTCAGTATCAAATCTCCCGGATCGCCATCGATATGTGGCTCACCCTCTCCGGAGAATTTCGTCTCCTGTCCATCTTCCATACCCTGCTCAATTTCGATTTCAATTGTCCGTTCCTCATTCACCAGCTTCACATTCGGACACTCATCGCAGACGGTTTGCTGCATCATCTGGAACCGACCGGGTCCCAAATTCCGCGTGACCATCTCCTGCCGGCAATTGCACTTACGTGTACCTTGTGCCGGTTTCATCACTGGCTTGTTTCGGGTTATCTCCACAAAGTTACCGTTGTACAGTTCTTCAAGCGTCACAAACAGGTCCATCACAATGTTAGCTCCCCGTGGGGTTTCTCGCTGCTCCTGGCCACCGAATCCGAAGCCAAAATCGCCGAAAAAGTGCGCGAATGGATCCGTGTTGTCCATCATGCCTTCCTTCTTGACGCATTCCTCTCCACATCGGTCGTACAGTTTGCGTTTGTCATCGTCAGACAGTACCTCGTAGGCGGCACCAAGGTCCTGAAACTTCTGGGACGCTTCGGGATCGTCTTGGTTCTTGTCGGGGTGAAGTTCTTTGGCTAGTTTTCTGCAAATAGCAATTCATATGTCAAGTAACCTTTAGCAATAATTCATGCTTTAGATTCGCATTTGGATTAAACTATGCTTTGAATCAGCTTAACAATAAAATACACCATCGTAACAACGTGAATCATCTCTCCTTCTTCTTCGTGTCAATAACGCTCTAATTGAATCTTCACGCATGTTTTGGCTTTTCAAGGCTACAGACCAGAAAGTCTTAAAACATGTTGTAGCTCCTCAGCCTTACCAGTGTTTTATCAACTTACACCAAATTTGTTTTTGATTCAGTTCCAACCAGCGTCGGGTATCAAGATAGAGTCTGCTTGTTTTCTGACAAACTACAGTTTGATCGTTTGTTTTTGTACCTTTTGTTCGGGTCGAGCTGCACACAGACAATTCAGTGCCAACATTTGAAAGGAGCGTAATTGCTTTTGTAAACAACGTCGTCAATGAAATCGACGTCTAATTCTCCCAAATGAAAACCCACCCCTCCAAATTACAAATGCTAGCTGATACAGGAAACATTTCTCTGCGTGCTGGTGTCATTCATTTTCATGAATGAGCTTTCATTCGCGAGAAATCGACGACTTAAGCCATTGTTTACAAATGCAATTACGCCCCTTTGAAATGTTGGCACTGAATTATCTCTTGTTCGCATCCTTGCATTACTGATTTCACACTCGTTAATTGAGAGTAGAGTTTCCTAGTTCGTATATTGGATGACAAGTACACTGATACTATATACCCCGCATAATACATAGTTCTACATATGAAAAGGATTCTGTTCTGTTTCAACCTTAAGCAAAAAAATGCTCTTGTGTCATATATTTTTTCATTAAAACTATAGGTAAACGAAATTTCACAAACCTTTAAACATAAATCAATACCTAATGCATTTCAATGTCTAAGGCTAGACACTCGTTTGATCTCATAGAACGCACACAAAGTGTAACGCCCCTTCAGGTGTTACCTCTCGCCTCAAGTTACAAGGGTGTATTTCTCATCAAAAATGATTTCAACTCTATCCGTTATAAAAAGTGATCAACTTCATCCCGATTTACGGTACCCATTCCACCAAAACTACATACCTGTATGCCTTCTTGACCTCGTTCTTGGCAGCGGTCTTCCGGATGCCCAGAATTTGGTAGAAATCCCTACCCGCTGAGACTTGCTGCACCAGCAAAATCAGCGCTACGTGAAGCAAAACGATACTCCACACTTGGAACGATTTCATCTTTGTGGCTTTGTGGGTAAAACCAATCTCAATCGCAAACCAACCCGTTTCACCTCGTGTCGATTAACAATCTTTTATGAAAAGATTCATCTAAACTAGATTAATACAAAATATATAGCTATTAATTCGACTAAAAACGATTCCGATTAGTGTCGCCTATCGGAGAGCTTCGAATGCTTCGTGTACCGTAATCGTGGAGAAACCCGTCACTAGAATTTTCCCTTCTTCCATCTGACAATCGGCAGATGGGCACCCGTGTCAGAGCTTCTCCACTCGGCATTTGTTGGTGCTCGCTGATTGGTCGAGCCGAATGACATACTGAGACTGAGCGATATTTTGTTGTTTCGGTGCTGCCAACGTGAAGAAAATGGGAAAAACGATACCTCGGTTAGATGATGGTGTCGTTTGAATTGGAAGTTACCTTAATCACATGACAGGCATGGCTGATCATTTACATTCATTTTGTGCATTCGTTTCTATTCATTTACCTCTAACTTTTTTCCATCAACAAATTCCCGTAAAATGAAAGTTTTAGCTAATATCAAAACCTACATAAAAATTCCACATCATTTTACGGGATTCTGTCGATGAAAAAAGTTAGAGGCAATTGAATGTAAAGGAATGTGGGTCATTCCAGCTTAAGTGGGTACAGAATTTTAAAAAGTTGTGGTCAATGTCACCGATTTGAGCCAAACTTGGCCAAAACACATATTAAGACATTCTGAACAAACACCTTTTTTTTTTGTCAATCAGTGTAGACCGTTTTACAATGGTGCTGTTGCCTTACATGCTGTTTTAAAACGTACGTTTTATTTGAAATTGTCAATAAATGTAGACTGCATATACAAATATCTAAGAAATAAAAATTGTTTTAAACTTAACGAGATAAAATTCTAGCAGTTAGTGTTCTCCTTACTGTATCTTTAGACATCGTTAGATCTATACGCTCACAATAATTATTATACACTCTCATTATTCTATTGATTAGTCCATTTTTAACTCTAAAGTGCCTAGATCCTTCTGGGCTACAACCCTGAATTTCCGAGATTTTTAAAAATTTCAGAAGAGATTACCCTCCCCATGGACATGGAGGTTGACGGTACTGAAGCAAAGGGTTATGTTTAATTTCTTTATATTTGCAACGTGGCACATATCACCTTCTTAATGCTTCAGTATGCCTCAAACTTGGGGCAAGACAGCTTTCGAGCATGAGTATAATCAGAGTTAATTTTGAGTAACTCTGAGTAACTCGCATTGCTCAACAACATTTACACATAGCAACCTGGTTGTTGTGTTGAAATCGATGCTGTCAAGCAAAGATAATTCAGTGGCAACATTTCAAAGGGGCGTTATTGCATTTGTAAATTTGTAATACGTATTTCAACATTTTAAGCGGTGCCCTTTCAAACTAAAACTTAACCGAGAAGATATTTTGGCAATGGGAAGGCAACTGCACTTTCGTAGAGCACGCTGCGAAACATTAGCAACTACATAATACGGATTCTGATGGACAATCACAATAAGGATTCAGGACAGTCCCAGAGGGATTCTGGACAATCCCTAGAAGACTTCGGACAATCTCTGGAAGGATTCCAGTCAATTGAAAAGGGGATTTATGACAGTCTCCCGAGGGACTCCGAACTTGCCTAGGGGTGATTCCAGACAATTTTCAGAAAAGATTCCATACACTCGCAGTACGGCTTCCGGACAATATCAGAGGGGACTTCGGGAAAACCCAACACGGATTCTGGATAGTCAAAAGGACGATTTCAGTAAAAAATAAGGGGCATTCATGACAGTTCAGAGAGGATCCCAAACAATCGCAGGAAGGATTCCGTACAATTCCAGGGAGATTCCAGACAATCACAGGGAGGACTACGCAGTCATCCCAAATGGAGGGTTCTGAACTATTCTTAGTAGCATGACAAAAAAAGAGATCCCTTCGACGATCGCTCATGTAAGTGTTGGAATAGAATCAACTATGAAGTTGGCCAAAACTAATCTAAATATTGTGACCCGGGATGAGCAGCTACATAAGGGCCGTTCGTCAATGTTCCATTTGTGCTAAATGTGGATCATCACAACAACACCAGGCGATGAAAATTTAACCCGTTTCTGAACACAATTTTCAACTGTCTTTTTCTAAGAGTTTCTAGTGACAATTGACCATTACTCAGGCTTTTCTAGCAAAATATTCTCTCAGATGTATATCGATCCTCCATTACGGAAGCTTGTAAATTTAATTTTTCTGGTCACTGTACACCTCAATTATAAATAATTTGTAATGTTGAATTTCCTCAAGCCAGAAACTAATTCAACAGAACAAGAAGCCTCTTTCTTCGATTTTGAGAGGTTGAGTAGTAATCTTTTCGTAATATTAGTTCATATTCCAACTTCTTTGGTCTTGAAATCACACCAACCCATCACGAAAATTTTTGAAGATCATCAATCCCTAGAAAGCAAAAGATGCCCCTGGCCTGGACAAAAGCAATGTAACACGGATCTTTCAATAGACGAAAAGCTAATATTGAAATTTCATGGACATTATGCTATATTAAAGTTGATAATCTGACGCCAAATGCTAAATTTTATCTTGATTGAAAATATTTAAACGAAACATTCTGTCAGCCGGTGGTTGTTTTCAGAACATCTTATGATCTTATGAGGCTACTTTGTTAATTTTTGAGTAAATATGAGCAACTCAAATTTACTCGCAGCAAATATATTTACTCTGAGTACAGCTGTCTTGCCCCTTGGCCTCAAACGATTATTTCTTGGTTGTTAATATAACTTCCTTGATGAAATCGGCTGCTTCATGCAGACTGAGCAATTCTGATTATAATATCAGATTTGTTCTGTATACAGAGGAACTGAAAGTAATGATCTTCTAGTAAATTTTGCATATAATTTTATTAATATTTTATTTTATTTAAGCATATTATTTTTGTTACAGTCAAATAACATTAGCATACGATACAAGAGATTTAAAATTACTTGCTCGTTTTTGCGTAAAATAATCAATATTTACATTACTTGTTGTGCTTTTTTGTTTTTTTTTTGTGTTATCTGAAAATTTTCCCAGTTTGGTTCAAGGGGCAAGACAGCTTTTGAACATGAGTAAAATCAGAGTTAATTTTGAGTAACTCTGAGTAACTGTGAGCAACTCTGAGTAACTTGCGTTTAACAACATCCAATACACATGGCAACCTGATTTTTAAGTAGAAATCTGTCATATTTTGCAACAGTAAATTCATAAGCAACTGAAAACTGTTGCTTAAGTTCTTCTGGATGTGATACTTATGGTGCTGTTGAGGAATTTGCTGAATTATATAATTCTGTCCAGGATATCGGTGTTACAGAATGTATGGGTGGTTACGATGATTCAAGACAACCACCAGGTCTGAGTCAACGGATACCGTCACCGAGCTGTACTTTTTTAAGATTGTGGCTTGTGGTGCCGTTTGCATCTGCTTTTCTGAGTATTAAGCAGTGGTGGGAGGAACATTTTCACTTTGCTAAATGCCCATGAGTAGCATGAGGTATTGAGTCCACCAATAAGGATCTTCAGCTGAAGAAAATCACATTGCCCGGAACTAAACTGAAGGCAAAGTTTAGCACTGAGCTCTTCTGGGATTCTCCGGAAATCCTATTTTAATACACTGCGTTTTAACTCAAGAACGGATAGTGTCCATACGCCAACATCATTGGCTCATAGACTGAAATTCATCGCAACAATTCGAATTTGACTTCCTTCTCATTCTTCACAAATTATGTGAAAGAAATGGGTGATGAAAACAGAAGTAGTATTCAAAAGCACAAGGAACGTCGCCACGAAACTCATATCCCAGGAGGAATAGTAACAGTAAACGAATATCTTCGGGTACAAGCGGTACAAGCTAAGCATGTCCTCGGTGCAATTGATATGTGCAGTAGATGACGTCTGTTTCTATTTTTCATTGAAGGTTTGTATTTTTTGAAAAAAAGCGAGACTACTTTGATCAGTATTGAGTTATTATGAGTTGCTCAAATTTACTCGCAGCGAAACTATTTGCTCTGAGTACGGCTGACTTGCCCCTTGGTTTGGTTAGAAGTTTCGAAGCTAACGCATGTCCACATAGAAAGATAGGCAGAAAAAGTGTATCATGAAGAATGGTTGCATTGCAGGGTTGCTTCCACTCACTTGCTATAGATGAGTGATTTTCGGAGTTTTGAATTCGTTAGATGTTGTAATGGAGATTTGTGTTGTTGGTTGCGGGTGGAGATTGGAGGGCGGGTGTTTGACGCATAGAGCCTGTCAATTTCGCTTTCAGAGTGTCGCAGTCAACGATTTTATAATTCGTGAGCGCTCGCGATTTGTAGAATCGTTGATTGTGACTGCAAGTAGATTTGGCGGGTTTTGTGTGTCGGACGCTTGCTTTTTGGCCTCTTCTTGTGTCTTACATGTGCAGAGTATCATTATAGCGTCTAATGGTTTTGAGATTCCTGGTTGCTTTTTGAGATTTGAGTAGTCGCGTTTTGTTTGTAGTTTATATTTTATTTCTTTCATGTAACTATCGTAAATAATAGATAGTTCAACCATATATTCGAACTTTGACGCGAAGCGCTGTGGATTATGAGATGCTCGATGACCCTGGAGGGATCGATTTTGCTTACTGAGCAGAAAATCACGGGTTTAATCCCAAGCTCTCCGTCATGACTCTTAAAATTCATGATCACCAAACAAAATTAATATTTTGTTTCGATAGTCGGCTATCGAGAGATTAAATGAACAACAATTTATGCACGCAAACCAAAAATCTATTACAATGAATGTTAGTTCCGTTTCCTATCATCCTCTGTTCATGAACATCGCAACGAATGTTAGAAGTTGACCATGCAGGCGATGTAATGGTTTTTTGTCTTTTTTATTTCGTGTTCTATCTACGCTTTCGACTATACCAGTAACACAGACAAACAGACATAACACATTGAATATTTCTCACTGTAAAACATCGTCGCTAAAACATTACCGCCATCTGTTGAGTACACTGTGGTGGGTAGTACGCTGAACAGATGGCGGTAGTGTGTAAACGTCAAACGCAAGGGAATTGACTATGCGCGCCACAGGTGGCGATACTACCAACTACGATACTTTTAAATTGACCGTTAAATGCTTGTTCGATGAACAACTTGCAAGAGTTATGTCTGTTTGTCT